CTTTACCTTTATTCACATTACATTGCTAAAATTAATTTGTCTCTCAATTTTGAGGCTTATAATTAAGTTTTTACATTTTCCCAATTCATTATTAAAGGACCTTTTGGTCTGGTGAATTTATAAAATATTGAATTCTCCAAATCAAGTGAAGGATCATGTCAAAGGACCAAGTCCTAAGGAGTCATCATTAGAATTGTAGATTATTCTTAGTTACTACCATCTCTTATATTTCAAGTTTATTAGATAAAGATGTGCTCTTGGATAGGGACCTCATGTCCTGCATTAGCAGAGCTGTGACAGATGCCCCAAGTTAATTCTGGCACTCCAAGAGTACAGCCAACTATACTCCTGAGGAAAATGTCAAAAATGAAGCAAGAACGGCAAAATATTGCTCAAAACCTTGATCTACCACAATCTCATTGCTTTTACTGCTTCTGTCATACTGGAATATGAGAATATTTTTAGCAGGTTAAGAGTGACATAAAAATAAAACATAAAACAGGACTACTTAAAAAGCTTTGTGAAAGATGACAGAAGTTGACCACTCAAAATGAAGCAGCAATTGTTTATGGATAAATGAAGGTGATAAAAGTCAGATCCATTTATTTGTTGAAGAGGATCTATGTCTATTTCCAATATGACACAAGAAGAATAATCATGATATCCTTTTTTTTTTTTTTTTTTTTTGGTTTTTCTCCTGTACCGGGAACCGAACTCACGACCTTGCGCTTGCCGGGCAGGCGCTTTGCCGCTGAGCTAAATCCCCAGCCCCCACGATATCCTATATTGTGATGATTGAACTGTTCACTAATTACTGCCCTAAATTACAATGAAAGACAGATTATCTAATGGATATACTCAGATACTGTAACAGAATATTAATGCATATTTAGCAGGGCCCACGGATCATGATGAAGTTGAGGTGAAAATAATAGTACCACAATTTAGATACAAGATAGAAATCTGTGATGATTGTTAGAAATAAAGAAAGCTGAGGAGATGCATCACTTTTGGAATATGATAAGATAAATCTTAAAACATTAAACTATCACCTTTTCAGCCAAGGAGAATACACTTTTAGTGGTGCTATCCTCAAAGGAAAGAATTTTATTTTTTCTATGAACTGACGTAGCATTTATCTATTCTGAAAACACTGACCAGAGGCTCAGAACTATAATTAGACAGAAGTGTATACCCTGATCACAAGGAGATTCTAATTGTCTGTGTCCACCTCGGGCAATTCTTGAAAATAAAGTTCTGTCTAAGGAAATACTCACAGAGTTGTATAGTGTAATACTGCTTCTACCAGCCAAAGAAAATAAATTAGGGCTCTTCTAGTCAACAATAAAAGAGTTTGAAAAAAAAACAATAGTAAGTGTTGCACTTTATTTTCTTTATACTCAGGAAAGAAGTGTACATTTTTCTATGCTACCTTTTCACGCAGTTTTGAAGATTAAGTGGAGTTATACATCTATATGTTCATATTTAGGTAGAAGTCTCCTGATTTATAACAGGTTTTACAACAATTTTAAATTTTACAAATCCTCAAATCTTAAGGTAAATTCCCTCTAATTTTCTTGAATGAAGAAATGCTATTTTAATTAGATTTCTACCTATCTTTCTAAAGCAAATGATATTATTACTAGATTTTATTTTTTATCATGGAGCTAAATTTATGTTAATGTTCAAAGGAATAATTCTTTTCAATAAGTTTAAACTTTTGTAAAGTTTATGGATTTGAACTGCTGATTCTCAAATAACATATTTTATTCTTATATTTATCTCTCTATAATATGTCTATACTTTTATGCAGTTATAATTTTTTAATTTATTGTAATACAAATAAACATTACTATTTCCTAATTGGTTATGCAATTTTGTATAACTTTTATAGATAAACACTATATAAAAAATACATTATTTTCATAATAACCATTTTTGTCTTCCTAAAATTTATTCTACTGATAAAATATGATTAATCTTTTCCTTTTATATTGTTCTAACTCAAATGTTCACCATTTCAAGAGTGAGTTACTTTTTTTCATTATGCTGTTCCTGAAAATTACTGTTTTGAAAGCCTTGTTTTGTTTTATATTTAGTATATGTCTACCATATGACTACATAATTTATTATATTTTAGTTAGTATTGAGTCATTTCCTTAGTACACAAATTCTAATATATATAGCAATATGTTAATAAAGTTAATATCAAATGTGTATTAATGATAACATATACTAATATAATGAATATAAAATCAGAATCATTTCTAATATAATTAAGAAGCATTTCATATTATATATATTGTGCATATTTAATTCTAAAGTGTGTAAAATGAAACATAATACATATGTAGTATACACACATGTATGCTTTTCTCTTTGTAGTTCTTATTGTAATTAAGGATGCCATGTGGAAAGGGTGGCTTCATATAATTAAAGCTAACTATTATAAATAATCATAGAGGAAGCTTCTTAGAAAATTGTGGCTATAAGTTTAAATATCTGTAGGCATTAAAAAGCATAACGTGCATTTTTTTCTTTTTTTTGGTACAAAGTGCATCTTTATGGCCTTGGAAGCCATCCCAAAAATTAGGAAATTTTGTTTCTTTGCATGACATATTTACTTTATCTATGGTACATACTGGTTGATGTTTTTCATATAATAGACTATTTCTCCAAAGCAACATACAATTGCAAGTTGTTATATGCAAACTGGCTACTGTTTTTAGGGGTGAACATCATACAACTAAGTATAAGAAGGATAGAATATCATATAATGAAATATGGGGGCTGGGGATTTAGCTCAGTGGCAAAAGCGCCTGCCTGGCAAGCGCAAGGTCGTGAGTTCGGTTCCCGGTACCGGAGGAAAAAAAAAAAAAAAAAAGAAATATGATGGTAGCCTTAAAAATATTCCTAAACTCAGGTACAAATGGATAAACACTTTTAATACTTGAAATATGATACATAATATAAAATAGTATAAAAATTGGGGTAAGAAAATTTTACATAACAGTATATAAGGCAAAAGAAATTTATAAATAATTGTAAAAAAAAATTGAATTGAGAAGATATTTCATCAGGTTGACAGAGTTCATTGTACACCAACAGAGGGTCATTTATTATTACAAGGGGCTTGATTATTTGAATATCCTGCCTTTTCCAATTTGTTAACACTTCTTTGCCAAAGTTATTCACTACATACAAGCCCCTAAATTTCGTGGGCATCCCCTGGAATTGTCCAAATTCCTACACTCTAAAATTGCCATCATAATGGGCTCATTTTCTGTCATCAGCTAGAACTCTGCATATCCCTCTCCTCTTCACTTCAAAACTAGCACTTACCTGTGCTCACCAGAACTAAAAGTTATTGATGCTGCAATCTTTTACCAAAATTTACATTTCCTTTGCCTTTGATTTTCAACAAAAATAATTTAAATTTATTATTCTAGGGCTTAGGCTGTACGTTAGTGGTCAAGTATTTTCCTAGCATGCACACCTCCAAGAGTTCCTTTTCTGCATAATAATAATAATAATAATAGTGGTAGTAATAATAATAATAGTAATAATAATAGCATGAAAATCACATGCATTGCACAAGAATTTGATTGCATATTAATTTAAATTTCTTTCTCCTTTCTTGCTTTCCTATATTTCCAGAGGAAAATACAATATTCTGTTTACCTCTCTCTCTTTTGCTTCCGGGGCAAGAGGTAAGAAATTTTGTTGTTCCATGTACTTCTGCCACGTTATTTCCTACTCACCTTAACGAGAGTCCTAAAAGCAGTGGTTCTGCCTGATGAAAGACTGAAACTTACAAACCATAAGCCAACAAAACCCATTCCTCCAAAAATTCATTATCTCACGTATCTGTTATGAAGACAGAATGCTAAGCCAAACATGGTCTCTGATCAAGGTAATAGAAAATTATAACATCCCAGTCCAGGCAGGGCAAGGCTCAAATCCTTCTGGAATTAATGTTAGTGTCATGCCGTCAGGCAAAAAAGGAAATCAAGACTAAGTCTCTTACAGATGACAAAGGGAATACAGAATGCGTAGTGGAAGAATCTACCCCCATCTAATCAGGTACAGAAGTGAGGACTACATTAGTTATAAGTAGTAAGTTCTCATTTGTTAAAAATTTATGTATGTATTGTAGTTATATATATGGACCCACATCAGGGTGAACGATAGTTATGGCTACATTTACCTAACATTATGAATGCTATATATAACTTTAATTCCCATTTTGATTTGTACTCCCAAATGAAAAGTCTTGAAACTATTTTTATTGTTACTAAAAACAAATGTCATTGTGAAATACTGAACACATGTTATCTTCTTCCAAATTCAATAAAAAATTCAACTGAACTAATTAACTTCTATATTTTAAGGAGTAGCAATTTAAGAATCACTAATGAGTTCCTTTAGTCATTAGTGTTGGAATGTATGTGCCAAAAGGTTTTCACCATTAAGAGATTCTAACAGACTACAGGGATAAATTCATTATACTCAATGTGTTTATTTTCTTTTCTTAATATTTTCTCAGTCATCTAATATAAACTGAGTTTATACTGAATATCTTCATGCAAAGTTGCTTGAGTTTTTGAAAACAAAAAAAAATGAAGGGAAAATGTTATCCTTGAAACAAAATTATCAATAGTGAATATTGGTTAATATAGAACTATAAGTTAATATGTTGAGATACTCAAAACCAAAATAGAAAAAACCAATTAAGTGCTAAAATAAAAGATTTAAGTATACTAGACTTGGTGGTCCACACTTTTAATCCCTGCAATCTGGGAAGGTTATTCAGAAGAATCATAAGACTGAGATCAGCTTGGACAGTTTAGTGATTTAGAGACACACTTTCTCAAAATAAAATAAATAAATGCAGAAATATGTAAATAAATACATAAGGGCTAGATGTAGCTCAGCTGCAAAAGCTGAAGGTTCAATCCCCTGTGTAAAACACAAAATAATTTCAAAATATGTGCACTCACCTCACATCAATGTACAGACGGGCATAAACACAAGGGTTCTGCTTGCCTGCTCCCTCTGATTGTGTAAACATAGTGAAGAAGTGGATCCTAAAGAAATACAAACAAATAAAAAATTTTTATTTAGCAAGGAAACTCAAGTCAGCTTCACTGCTTAGGATCTGAGGGTGTATTCTCATCTTGAGGAAAGACAAGAAGCACCACAACCTTCCCCTTGCTGAGGTTCTGTAGTACGTAGGGCCTAAAAGGGGAGCGCAATGTGAGCGTTCTCAAACATAGAGCCAAGAATGAAAAATCACCTACTGCAAAAACAATATAGTGCCTAGATATGGAGTGTTCCCAGTAATATTTTATTGTTAGATCTCTGACCTATAAAAACAAGACTTGAGAATACTGAAAGAGGTAACAAAATCCTATGTGTGGCACGTAACCATCATATTATACCTAACCATATCACATCCATTTTTCAAAAATGTATATATAAATTCCAAACAGTTTCAATAAAGATAATAGCACATTTGATTTTTAAGGAAAATAATAAAGTAATCACTATTTTATATGGATCAGTAAATGAGCTGGAATAGCTAAAGTTATATTTTAAGAGAGAACACTAGGAATTAGGTTTCCTTTATTAGTTGCTAAAAGTTATTGAAATTATACAACACAACATGGAACTGGCACAATGGAAAGCAGATAGATCAATACTGGATTATGGAGAAGTATTAAACTGAGTCAAACAAGGAAGCCTGAAATATGACAGTAAAGGAGCATTGCACAAGACTGGGAATGACTTCGATATTTAATAAATGCTATTGAAGCCATCTGCTCTCCATATGAAAGTGAAAATTGCATTGCCTCCTCCCATCATGCAAAAGCAATCCAGAGTGATGATGGGGTTATTTATAAATGAAAAATATGAAACATTAAAAAGTACATAAAAGTTCATGATTTTACGTCTGTTGTGAATGACACAAAATCACAAACCACTAAGAAAAGGAAGCTTGATCAAATTTAATTTTAAATTATATATATATATATCAGTGCATGTTTACAGTAATAATGATTACATCTGTTGTAGTGAATAAATATATGTACATAAGATATTTCCAATATTTTCCCCTTTTCTCCACCCCCTTTTATTTTTCCAGCATCAGATTTATTTATTTATAAGATCTTAGAAAGTTAATTATCATATATACTCATTAAAAAACAGAACAATAGGAAAAAATCACATGTAAAACATGTAACATAATTGTAATAGGTCAAGATATATTTCTAAATATATATTTCATATATACATACATATATATATGAAAGGAGAGAAAATAAAAAAAAGAAAACATGATGTAATCTGGCATGGAAAATGTATCATTTACACTTTTTATAAAGTATAAGAGAAAATAGATGTGATGGGAAAAATGTAATTTCAGTGTTCAGGGCAAAAGATGAACATTCAAAACTTACAGAAATGTTTTTTTAAAAATTTCATCTGGTGAAGAGACAACTGTACAAAGATATATAGAAGAAACTGGAAGAGAAAGAGCTGAATGGGTCAAAGCATATGTGAACAGACTTCCTGACCAGCAATTGAGAAGTTCTAAAACAAATAAATTCTTATCTATGGCATTAGGAAAACTGTAGAGTCTGATAGGATTACATTGTAATTTGAAGCAGTAATTGAGAAAATGTGTCCCCTTTTATGATAAAATATTATATACATATTAGTAAACTTTCAGAACCATTGAGTAATACCTTTTCAAAAAAAAAAAAAACATGACCGTAACCAATTATCCATTAATTGTTACTTCTATGTATCTTAGATAAATTTTTACATATGCACAGAACACATGTGAAGAATGATCCTAAAGTAATTGCTTATAATATTAAAATTTGGGCAACAGTGGAGTGCCAAGCAGTTAAAGAAAACATATGAAAATATTAGAATATTCTTTCCTTCAAATGACTCAATACAGTAGTTACATTTTAGGGACATTATCTCTTTGCATACCAGAATAATTCTAAACTACCATTTCTCTTGACTTAATGAAAGACAAAGATCATAACAGTTAAAATTAGAATTTTTTGTAAACTTTCAAAGATATGAACAGTACCATTTAACATTATACTTTCCTATGAATACACAGATATTTAAAATATTCAGAAATTTCAAGAAGTCAGTTAGTTTAGAGGGAAGAATGGATAAGGAAGGGTTCAGAGTTTGTATGTTACAAATGGGGATACAGTTGTGTTTGTGTCCTCTTATCATATTAGCTGATAGGAAAATTAAAGCTAATATGTATAAAATTAGGGGGCACATATTTATTACAATATTTTAACTTTATGATTTTAAGTAAATAAGATTTAAAATCACTAAGTAGTATTTACTTAGAAGTTCATAGTTCATTAAAGAGACCATAATCAAAGAGACTGAAATTGATAGAAGAGTATTAGAGGGAGATGAGGAAAAAAACTTATGAATTTTCAGGAAAATGATCATTTTGAACTTTTTCTGTTCTTCTTTGTAATCAGGAAAACAACCTCCATCAATCAAATGAAAAGACACATTACTACCTCCTTTCTTCAAATTACATAGCCACTTTACTTATTTTCTCTATATGATTATGTTTTCTATACTTGTGAAGGAGATATAATTTTAGAAAATAAATAGATATGAAATAACAAAAGTGAAGCTTAAGAATTTGATTTTATTATATTTTATTTATGGGGACTGTCATATTACTTGCCAAAACTAAATTAATATAATTGTTAATGCAAAACTATATTCAAGATAGAAGTAAAGAAAAATCATGCAACAAAATGAAAACATTAAAATGAGATTTATTTAAAAGATGTTAATAGCTTTTAACTAATTTCAACACAAATGATATTCCTGGGTCTGATCGGGCAAAAAAAGGATATTCTGCTTAATATCAAGTAAATATAAGAAATTGTAACATTGCAATTATATTATTTTCCAAACCTATGGAGCTATTTCTGTTTGAGATTTCCAACTTACATAATTATAAAATGCAAAAAATATTGACTGTGGTTTTTTTGACAGGGTATGCTATTGAACTGTAATTTCTTGATAAAATAGTGGAAAATATGCTCAATCAACTCCTTTTAAAAAGTATGAATAAGCTCTAGGCTCTATTTAATTTTGATTAGTTTCACTTGTCTGGTAATGCTCACAAAGTAATGGCAAAGTTCCACATCCACACCTCAACACTAATTCATTTGGAAAAATAATAATAAGTCATTTAAAAATCTCTTCATAACATTCAAAATGCTTTTAGTGAGTTCTCAGATGACAATATGAATCTAATTAAAATTTACATGTGTTCTCCCCTTCCATTATTATTAAGCTTAGTTTTCTGATATAACGGTGTCTCTGAAGATAAGTGAAACAATTAAATCTACTAACATGCAAAGCTAAACAAATCATGCATGCATTGACTCTGAAATGTAAATGCAGTTTTATTCAAAAGAACTTTTATTTTAATTTTTAACATGTGGGTAGGTGAATGTAGAAAAGCCCATTAAATATATAATACCAGAAAACAAGAATTTGTGTTTATGATGAGTGGGGGAGCGAGACATAGTGAGAGAGAGAGAGAGAGACAGACACCTAGAGAGAGAGACAGAGAGAGGGAGAGAATGAATAAGAATGTGTGTGATGTCCTTGATATGATTAGCATATTTTTGTTTCAGTATATTAGCTACAGTGGGCTTCCGTGTGTATGTACCTGAATACATTCTTCAGCCAGAGCAACAAAACTGAAGTAATTTTCTCACTTGAGTTTGAGGAACAGTACTCACACTGGGCCAACATATAGCATCCTCCACAGATAAATCTTCTATAGAAAGGAAGAGGAGGAAGCGCATATATCCCTGTGGTATTGTCTCCCTAGTGTAAGAAACTGAAAGAGTAAATAAGATCCAACAGGTACAATAGGTACAGCGCAAGGGAAAGAAACTGCCCAAAAGGAAAGAACAACTGAGATGGAGGAAAAGACAGAAGAAGGAAGGGGAAAAAAGATAAGTATATCTACACAGGACTGCTAAGATAATTGTACTACTAATTTCTATTAATTCATTGAAAGAAACCATTAGTCCTTATATTGTTTGATCAGTTTTGCATGCCTGCACATGCTAATCTGAGCAACTACTTTAAAAATAACAATATGCAATATTATAACCATTGTTAATTTCCTAATCCACTTGTTTTGAAATTCTGTATCACTTTTATTGCTTTTTTGTCTTTTTTCTCTTTAAAATAAAAATAAAAGAGAAGGAGGGCAGAAGAGGGCAGTGAGAGAATGGGTGGGGAAAGAATTAAGATGTGTTTTGTACATGTACCAGCTACTGTGATGAATGTAATCATTTCATACAGCAAATATGAGCAAATAAAAACAAATTTTTTTTCAAAACATTGTCTTTATTTGTATGTGTTTGTAGTACAAAATGTTTGTTTTCCTTGCATGGAGTTGGTACATGTACGTAACACATCTTAATTCTCTTCCTCCTCCCCTTTTCCTTGCTTGCCTCTGTTTCCCTCCATTTCTTCATCCACCCGTCTAATGCACATGTTTGCAGTAATCCTGCTCACATTCTTTTGTAGAGCTGGTACATGCCCATAGCACACTGTCATTTTCATACTCTTTCTTCCCCCTCCCCCACTTCCCACCATTTCTGATCCCCTTCTATTGTGATCTTGAATATGATCAATTTCAGTGTAACTATGAGAAAAACACACTGAGGATGATACAGAGAGAAAATCACAGAAAGATAACCAATGCGTGATCTAATATGTAGAAGCTAAACATATATCAATTTGAGTGTTCAATAGCCATTACTAATGTTGAGAAGGCTGCAAAGAAGGGAGGATAAAGGGATTTGTAGTGACAGGTACCAAAGCTCAGTTAGAGAAATAGAAGTTCTAACATTGTACCGTATAGTGGATGACTATAGGTAACAAAATGTGTCATATATTTTACAAAGATCTAGAACAGAGCAGTTGAATTTTCCAAACAAGTGAATGGTAATGGTCCTGATTTGATCAGTGTATGTTCTATCCACATGCTGAAATA